GGGGGGTTTTTTTTTTTTTTTTTTTTTTGAGACAGGGTCTCACTATGTAGCCCTGGCTGGCCTGGAACTTGCTATGTAGACCAGCTGAGTTAAGTGATTAGTTTGCTGTCCACAGTATCTGTCTGTCTGTCTGTCTGTCTCTCTCTCTCTCATTTGTGTAAGCCACCCAAGCACATACTCAGAGGATAGTAGTGGGAGCTAAGTTTTACTTTTTTGCAGTGCTGGGAATGGAACCCAGGACCTCCTGCAATCAGACAAGCATTTTATTATTAAGCTATATCCCCAGCTAAATGGGCAAAGTGGACTGACTGGAGCCAGATGGGGTCAGGCCTTGAATGCCAGGCCAAAGCATTTTCAAACTCCTCATCCTAGATGCCAAGATGAACCTACAACAGGGCTTAGAAGCCAAGGACTGCAGTGACCTGACTGTTTTTGAAAAATCCTCTGTGGCCGTGGGGGGACAGCGGGAACAGTGAGGGTTAGATATAGACTGAATAGTGAGGGTAAGCGACGGGAGTCTCTGGGGCTAGGACCAGTCAGGTGAGAGGTGAGGAGGCCTGGATAGAGCAGAAGTGGGTGGACACGGAAGAAAGGACAGAGAGAGGTAGGAGGAAGGCAGGCTCTCCAGGGTTCCCAGTTCGTGACCCAACTAGAAGGGGGACCAAAGGCTGAAGAGTAGCTTTGGAAAGGGAGGGGGAATGGGGTGCTGCTGATGATCTGAGTTGGGAGCAAGCTAACATATGAAATATTCATGAGGCAATTATTTCTTAAAATTTTTTTTTGTTAAGGCTGGGTATGGTGGTACATGCCTTTAATCCCAGCATTCAAGATGCAGGGCAGGAGGATCTCTGCGAGTTCAAGGCCAGCCTGGTCTATATAGCAAGTTCTAGGCCAGCCAGGGCCACTAGTGAGACCTTGTCTCAAAAACAAGCAAATGAACAAAATTTTTCTTGCATTTACTTATTTTGTGTGTATGTCTGTAGGTGCACCCGTGCCATGGTAAGTATGCCATGGTACACATGTAGAGGATAGAGGACAGCTTGCAGGAGTCAGTTTTCTCCTATCAGGTGAGCTTCGGGAACCAAACTCAGGTCCCCAGGGGTTTGGTGATCAGTGCCTTTACCCTCTGAGCCATCTTGCAGGCCCTCATGTGGCAATTATTAACCAAGTACCTGAATGTTTGCTTGCCACTGACAACTTGGTGCTCACTGACAACCTGACTGGATTTGAAATCACCTAGGGGACACACCTCATACCTGTGAGTTGTTTCCAGGGAGGTTTAACTGAGAAGGGAATATGGGCAGCACCATCCCATAGGCTGGGGTTCAGCATCATCGGCACCCATCACTCCCTGCTTCCTGACTGTGGATGCAATGTGACCAGCTGCCTCACCTTTCCTGCATACCTGTACTCCCTGTACTCTGTTGTGTGGGACTGTATTTCATCTCAAACTGTGAGCCAAAGTAAAATCTTCCTCCCTTCAGTTGATTTTTGTCAGGTATTTTGTCATAGAAAGGAAAATACTAATACACACTGTGAAAGTCTCCTCAGACCCAGTAGGAACTGGAGTCAGAGACACTACCTGGGAAAGCGATGGATCTGGGGACAGAGGCAAGGGTGTCTCCACTGAGGGGGTACTAGAACAATCACTGTAGGGAGTGATGCATACAGAGATGCTGTGCAGGGATCCGAGAGGTTGCTCTTATTAATGCTGAGTGCAGGGAGAGGACCCGCATCAAAGGACACTTAAGAGTGCTAGGCGTGGTGGTGCACGCCTTTAATGCCAGCACTTGGGAAGCAGAAGCAGGCAGATCTTTGTGAGTTCGATGCCAGCTTGGTCTATATAGCGAGTTCTAGGCCAGCTGGGGCTACAGGAAGACCCTGTGGCAAAAAGACAAAAACAAACAAACAAACAAAAGGACACTTAGGAGTAAGAGACCCAGCAGTGACAAGGGAAACGTCGCCACTCAGAGGCCTGTGAAGTTCACTCCTGGAAACCCTGCTCCTTTATATTCATTCTCAGGCAGACCACAATGCTTGCAATAAAAAGTAAGATTTCGTTATTACTTTACCATTGAAACATCTTACCAGAAAACAAACAAGCCTGGGGGGGGAGGGTCAGAAACACAGGCAATTGGTCATCTAACCAATCCACCAACCAACAACCCTAATCACATAAGTACACAAACAAGCCAGACAACCAAATCTTAGTAGGACCAGGGCTCTGGACATGAAGGAGGGCCAGCCTGGCTGACTCAGCCCGTCATCACTGACAAGCGCCTCACTGCTGCCTGCCTCGGCTTCCACGTGCACACAGACGATGACAACCCAGTGTCTGTAGCTCTCCAAATTCATAAGCATGCTTGAGTGTGCACTGAAGAACGCCTGTAAAGTGCTTTGGGCTCCCAAAAGGAAATAAAATCCACATACTATTTTCGTAAGCCTGTTAATAAGTTTCTCACTCCTCATCTTCAAAGCTCTCCTCCAGGGCACTGTATTTTATCTCAGCCAATGTGTCAGAATAGAGAATTTGGTTACCATGGGA